ACCAGAGGGCAGCTCCTGCATTGAGCGTCTGCCCCCTGGTGGTCAGTGTGTGTCATAGTGACCAGTCATTCCCAGTCTTTCTGCTGTTAGGGTCAGTTTGCATATTACCCTTTTACTATATAGGATAGAGGCCTGGTGCATGGGTGGGGGCCGGCTGGTTTGCCCTGAAGGGTGTCCCGGATCAGGGTGGGGGTCTCGCTTGGGTGCCTGGCCAGCCTGGATGAGGGGCTGATGGCTGTTTTCAGGCTGGCCACAACCCCTTCAGGGTGGGGGTCCCCACTGGGGTGCCTGGCCAGTCTGGATGAGGGGCTGAGGGCCGTTTTTAGGCTGGCCGGCAACTGAAGCTCCCAGCCTCTCTTTTTTTTCTTTTTTTTTTATTCTGGGATTTATTTACCTTCTATAATTGAAACTTTGTTGCCGTCACTGGCGCTCCCAGCTCTGAGGCTGCGGCTGGCTGAAAGCAGGTATCTGGGGTTTGTTTGGCTTCTGTAATTGAAACTTTGTTGCTTTTGGAGCTGTTGCTTTCGGAGCTTAGAGCAGGCCGCGGCAGGCGGGGAACCTTGGCTTCCTCCATCACCGGAGCAAGCAAACCTCCTGCTCGCTTCAGCTGCGTGGCTGCCGGCTGCCATCTTGGTTGGCAGTTAATTTGCATATCTCGCTGATTAGCCAATGGGAAGTGTAGCGGAGGTATGGTTAATTACCCTTTTTGTCTTTTATTAGATAGGATTGCCCTGTTGTTAGATATTAAGGTTGTTTCTGTATTCACTATTGCAACATTATTTTAATGGACATCCGTGTACAAATATCCTTTACATTTTTAAATGATTAAATTTAGGAAGAAGAGCAGTATAATGAAGGCAGTTTGCTCTATTAAATAACAAAGTACATTGTAAAATGTATAATTGTTAAGACTATGTAGTATTGGCTCTAGAATAGTGTAAAGACAGATCAGAGCAAAATGCATTGCAGAGAAATGGCCTTATAAATATAATTTAGTAAATAATAAATATTTGATACCATTGGTTTGACATTTGTCATTTCATTAGGGAAAAGTCTAAATTCTGGGTAGATTTATGTAAGAAATAAGACTTGTGTTATCATAAATTAATTCTCACTAAAATAAGCATTGTTACATCTAGATAAGGGGCTAGAGATACTCTTAGAAGTCTTTTGTTTCTAATGTTTTATTATTTACTAGAATCTAGTGGTCGGCAAACTCATTAGTCAACAGAGCCAAATATCAACAGTACAACAATTGAAATTTCTTTTGAGAGCCAAATTTTTTAAACTTAAACTATATAGGTAGGTACATTGTTATTAACTTAATTAGGGTACTCCTAAGGCTTAGGAAGAGCCACACTCAAGGGGCCAAAGAGCCGCATGTGGCTCGTGAGCCGCAGTTTGCCAACCGCGGTACTAGATAGTTTCTATTAACACATCAAGGTAAAAGTAAAGACATAGACACACACGCAAACATATACGTATACAAACATGCACACACATCTATGAATATATGCATGTATATTTACATATATTTTTTCAGGCATATTTTTGTGTTTTCTTTAATTAGGTTGTTAAAAATTAGGAAAATATTTGTGAATGCTTATTAGATTTTGCATAGGGAAAGACACTATAACCATAAGAGGACATATAAATCATAAAAGAAAAATAGCTATTTTTACATATATATTTCTTTCTTATTTAAAGTACTCTTAGAAATTAATAAGAAAGCTTAAATTTTAACTAAAAACAGGCAAGGATGATAACAAATGAAAATGATAACCAGGACTAAAACCAGTTGATAGACTCTTCAGGTCTATTTTTAATATGTGATTCTGGAGTTTTTCATTCTTGCCTCAGAAAATGGCCATCTCCTAAATTGTAACGTGGCAAGTACTGTGAACCTGTTTTGTTTTGTTTTTTTCCTCCTTTTTGGTGGGCAAGTGGGCCTTGGCTTTTTAAAAAAAAAAAATTTAGAGCATGTCTTTATTATGATAATGTTAAAAAATATTGTATTATGAAGCAATAGGTAATAAATGGCCTTATTTTTCCAGTAAACATGATAAAGCTTCTTCAGAGGAAAAAAGTGGATGTGATGCAAATGCATTTGAAGGCTCATCAGCAACAAAAAGTGAAGAAAGCATAATAATTTCAGATAAGGAAAACAATACCTGTCTTGAAGACAAAGAAACTGGCTCAAAGACTATCTTCAGTTATGTTTCAAATATTGGTAAAGATAAAGTGGAAAAGGAAAACCAAATAGAGAACATTGATCAGGAAACGGAGTTGAAGAAGTGCCAAAGTTCAGAAAACATAATTTCATGTGATCAGATTAAAGATCAAAGCTCCAATGAAGCTAGGTTTTCTTCGAAGAATATTAAGGATTTGCAGTTAGCATCTGGTGATGTGAGCATTGATCAGTTTTTGAGAAAAAGAGATGAACCTGAATCTGTTAGTTCTGATGTTAGTGAGCAAGGCAGTATTCATCTGGAACCTTTGACTCCATCGGAGGTACTTGAGTATGAAGCCACAGAAATTCTTCAGAAAGGTAGTGGTGATTCTTCAGCCAAGTCTGATGAAGTAGTGTCTGATCAAAAAGATGATGTTCCTGGAGAAAATAGCCCTAGCACAACAGAGACAACAGTAGACCTGGCAGATGAAAAAGAAAGAAGTTGAAATTAGTTGTCATTCTCAGTTTTAGTGTATCAGTGGTAAGAGCATTCAGATCAGTGCTACCAGGTGAGCTCAGTGGTGCTGTTGTAGAGTTCAGAAATAGAAAAATGTGAGGAGGTCATTTATACACTTTATCTGTATGTTCAACCTAGGTCATTACAGAAATCAGTTGAATAATAGCATGATTAGTATGAATTTCCAAGAGGTTTTAAAACATAAATAGAAAAGCTTCATTTAACAGTTCTCAAGGAAATGGAACTTGTTTGCCAGTATGAATTGATTATTAGAATATTATTTATGTTTATAAAGCAGTGAAACTTCCATCAATCCTAAGCTAAAAATCCTTATTACCTTTATATTCTTCTCAATTAACTTAAAAGAAGAAATTTGGAAACCATATATCTTTTGGGAATTTTTAGATAATGGCTAATTGGCATTGTTAATAAAGCTTTATTTGGAGTATGATGCTGGTAAATGCGTAGAGTGTGAAATTAATGAATCTATTGAGAATTTTGATACACATAAACTTAATTTTGGATGTAATGTAACATTCCAGACTGTCAGAAGCATGTAAACAGAATATTTGAATCTGTGTACCTCCATACATGTGTTAGTCTGCCAGGCTATAAGCTTACCTTAATTAAACTTTCAGTGAAAGTGAAATTATTAAAACATAAATTTATATTTGTGTTTTGTGTCAGTGTGAGCTGTGCAGAAATCCCTTGATGTGCTAGTTGTATAAAGTAGAAACCCACTGTTAAAACTCCTGTAGTTATTATGCTTTTAACCTTGTTTTAATGATCTTTAGAAATAGACCCATAAAAATGGTCTGGAAACCAAACCAAAGTATGGAATAATGTAGATATTGTAAAGCAGTCAACTGAAAACATGTCCTGGCATGAATCCAGCCATGTTTAAGTGACGTTTTCTTTAATTGTAAAATAGAAACTTCAAATGGGACCTAAAGCAGTGATGTAAAAAATTGTTTTGGGGATATTTAGTCTAATTTATCCATAAGATGGCTGCTAAATTGATTTCTCAGTTGTTTTTAATCATCTAGAAATAATAGATTTAGAAATGAGTAAATGAACAACCGTAGTTGCTTTGAAGTACTAATAAACTTTTATTTAAAATGCTACATTTTTACTTCTTAAAATGTGCTTTGAATCCTTAAATTTTGTTTCACTGAATGTTAAATGTTTTAAATGTCTGTTAAAATCCTGATGTATATAGTAGTTTTTGAGTAAATATTTGCAATAAAAATATGTACCTGAATAATTTTATTTTTCAGAAAACTGCTTGAGTCAATTTACCTTTGGTGCCTTTACAAACTATATTTGTTTAAGGAATTTTCATGTTAAAGTTAGTGGTACGATTTCATTCTGTATTCTTTACTTGGTGTATGATATATCATAAATTAGTACTTAAAGTGTAGGGGGAAATACTGCTAATATTTACAGAGAATGGATTTGTTTGCTAAATCCTTTCACTTCAAGAGATATATAATTTAATATTATAGTTTTCTATCTGCTGAGTACATTAAAGAGGCTAAATGGGCAAAATATATTATCAACGTATTTTCTTGAATATTTGGCGGGTAGGAGTGTAAATATTTTCATTTTTTCTGCACCCAAGAAAAAATAGGGAGAAAAGGACCCATTAACTGTCACCCTTAACCTTGTTTAAACATAAATCTATATAGCGGAAAAGATTTGGGGAGTAATTTAAATCGTAGAAGAGCAGGGAGTAGAGAAAAGTCTATATAAGGACCACTTTCTGAATGTCATTCAGTTAGTTAGTTGCCAAGCCTATGCTAGAAAATCCTTGAGCCCTGTACCAAATAAGTCCAAATGACGCTATAATCCTTTTTGAGCTTTGGGGTTGTTGTTCTGCCTCTATAAGAATAGTAGTATTCAAAGTAGCTGATCAGTAAACTGATTTTTAGAGAGAGAGGGAGTGAGAAGGAGAGAAAGAGAAACATTGATGTGAGATTGAAGCATTGACTGGCTGCCTCCTGCACGCCCCCTGAGCTCAGGCATGTGTTGGGAATCGAATGGGCAACCTTTCCGTACACTGGACAATGCCCAAGCAACCAGCCAGAAACTAAACATTTTTTTAAAGGAATTGGTAAGATATGAGTTACCTTGTTTTTGTTGTATGTAAAAAATGAGGAAATCAACTATGTGTGCAATTATTTGCCTAAGATTACAAAGCCAAGATTGAACTCAATTTGATCCGATTCTAAAGTTATTATTTTCTACCTTACTTATAGTTCTTAGCATTTATACTGAATGCTGCTTATTAAAATAAATCTTTTTTTTGCAAATAACATGCCCATTGATGATACAATTATAGTTTGTTTTATTATTTATACAGTTATATGTATACTAGTGGCCCAGTGCACAAAATTTGTGCACATTAAAAGGGAATTAATTAGGAAATATTTTAATATTGCTATTTGCCCTTTCTATATAATAGAAGTGTCAGAGGTGAAAGAAAATTAGTAAAATGTATATGAAAATCTCCCTCCTGTCAGAGTCTGGGGTGGACCGCGGGAACCAGAGTCAAGTCCCTGCCCACCCGTGCTTCAAAATCGCGTGAGACCCAGACCCAGCTGGCCCCACCCCCATCAAGCCCTGCAGGGCGGGGGGGACCAGCCTCAGGTTCCCTGTCATGCCCTGCCAGGCAGGGGGCGCAGCCTCACATTCCCTGTCAAGCCCTGCTGGGCGGGAGGCACAGCCTCAGGTCCCCCATCAAGCCCCGCCGGGCAGAGGGCATGGCCTCACATCCCCCGTCAAACCCCGCTGGGCAGGGGGGTGTGGCCTCAGGTCCCCTGGCCCCAGCACAAGGGCGAGGGCATGATGACCATTTGCATATTAGCTCTTTATTACAGTGGGGCCTTGACTTATGAGTTTAATTCGTTCCGTGACGGAGCTTGTAACTCAAATTACTCGTATGTCAAATCAATTGTGAACAAGTGGGACACATGATGCTGGGCTGATGTTGTGGCGTTCACTGTGACATTCGCTGCGCCAACTAGCGGTGGGGTATCTGAAGCTGGCTCACGTAACCCGAATTTTAGCTCGCAACTCAAAGCAAAAAATCGGCCGAGAGACGGCTTGTATCTCGAAAAACTCGTTAGTCGGGACACTCGTAAGTCAAGGCCCCACTGTATATAGGATGGCATGGAGGATTTCTTAACCTAAAGAAAAGGACCTCGCGATCTTTTTTTTTAGCAGGAATTGAGGAATTTTATCTCGAGAGGAGGGATTAAATAATCATTTTATTAATAGGAAAGACAGTATGCAATTTAAAGATATACTTTACAGCCCAGGCCAGTGTGGCCTAGAGAAATATGTATCTTCTGACCCCATTACCCTTTTCACCCACTTCTCAAATCAGGCAACCACCAACCTGTTCTGTATATCCAAGAGCTCAGGAACTTTGTTTTTCCTTTTAGATTCCACATATAAGTGAGATCATACGGTATTTATCTTTCTCTGTCTGCCTTATTTCACTTAGCATAATGCCCTCGCGGTCTATTCATATTGTTGCAAATGACAAGATTCACTTTTTAATGGGTGAATAATATTCCAGTGTGTTGTATATGTGTGTGTATCACATTTTCTTTAGGTGTTCATCCATCAGTGGACACTAAGATTTTTCCATACCTTGATTGTAAATATGCTGTAATGAACATACGTGCATATAGTTTTAGTGTTTTCAGATAAATATCCAGAATTGGAATTGTTGGATCATATGGTAGTTCTATTTTTTTTTTTTTTAATCCTCACCAAGGATATGGGGTTTTTTTGTTTGATTGTTTTTGGGGTTTTTTAGAGAGAGGAAGGGGGAGAGAGAGACATTGATTGGTTGCCTCCCGTATGAGCCCCTACAAGGGATCAAACCCACAACCTTTTTTGGTATATGGGACTACAACCAACTGAGACACCTAGTGAGGGCTGGTAGATCTATTTTTAATTTCTTGAGGAACCTCCATACTGTCTTCCATAGTAGCTGCACTAATTTACATTCCCACCAATAGAGCACAAGAGTTCCCTTTTCTCCACATTTTTACCAATATCTGTTATTTCTTATATATTTTTTTTCTTTTTTTAAACATATTCCATTGACCTTCTCTACAGAGAGAAAGGGAGAGGGACAGAGAGCCAGAAACATCGATGAGAGAGAAACATCGACCAGCTGCCTCCTGCACAACCCCCACTGGGGATATGCCCGCAACCAAGGCACACGCCCCTGACCGGAATCGAACCTGGGACCCCCCAGTCCGCAGGCCGACGCTCCATCCACTGAGCCAAACCGGTTAGGGCATTTCTTATATTTTTTATAATAGTCATTCTAACAGGTGTGAGGTAATATTGTGGTTTTAATTTGCGTTTCCATGATGATTGGTGATGTTGAATATCTTTTCATGTACCTATTGACCATTTGCATATCTTCTTTGGAAAAATCTTTCTTTTCAGATCTTCCCCATTTTTTTAATTGAATTTATTGGGGTGACATTGGTTCACAAAATCATATAGGTTTCAAGTATACAACTCAACAAAACATCATCTGCACACTGCATCTTGCGTCATTGCCCCAAGCAAAGCCTTTTTTCGTCCCCATCCCGCCTCCCCACCCCCCGTCTTTGCCCACCTCCACCTATCCCTGGACCTATCCTTTCCCTTTGGCTATCACCACACTATTGTCTGTGTCTATGTGATACACGCACACATACATATATACACACACATATACATATATATCAATACTTTCACCTTTCATCCAGTCTCCCAATCTTCCTCCCTTCTGACAGCCATAAGTCTGTTTCATGTATCCACGCTTCTGTTCCTACTTTGTTCACTAGTCTATTTAGTTCATTAGATTCCACATATAAGTGAGATCATGTGGTATTTGTCTTTCTCTGGCTTATTTCGCTTAGCATAATACTCTCCAGGTTTATCCATGCTATTGCAAAAGGTAAGATTTCCTTCTTTTTTATGGCTGAGTAGTATTCCATTGTGTAAATGTACCACAGCTTTTTTATCCACTCATCCACTTGGACTGTTCAAATCTTGGCTATTATAAATAACGCTGCAATGAACCTAGGGGTGCATATATTCTTTCAAATTAGTGTTTTGGTTTCTTCAGATATATTCCCAGAAATGGGATTGCTGGGTCAAAAGGCAGTTCCATTTTTTATTTTTGAGGTAATGCCATAATGTTTTCCACAGTGGCTGCACCAGTGTGCATTGCTACCAACAGTGAACTAGGGTTCCCTTTTCTCCACATCCTTGCCAGCACTTGTTTGTTGATTTATTGGTGATAGCTTAATTGGAATGTTTGGGAGTTATTTTGATTGTCTTTTGCTATTGACTTAGATAAGTTCTTTATATATTTCAGTATTAATTCCTTATCAGATATATGGTTTGCAAATACCTTCTCCCATTCAGTAGGTTACCTTTTCATTTTGGTGATAGTTTCCTTTGCCGTACAGAGACTCTTTAGTTTAATGTAGTACCACTTGTTAATATTTGTTCTTGTTGCCTCTGCTTTTGGTTTCAAATAGAAAAAAAATAATCACCAAAGTCAATATCAAGGAGCTTACCACCTATGTATGTGTTCTAGGAGTTTTTAGCTTCAGGTCTTACATTCAAGTGTTTAGTCCATGTTGAGTTAATTTTTGTGTATGATATAAGATAATGTCCAGTTTCATTATTTTGCATGTGGCTGTCTAATTTTTTCCAACACCATTTATTGAAGAGACTATCTTTTCCTATTGTATATTCTTGGCTCCTTTGTCATAAACTAATTAACCGTGTGTGCATAGGTTTATTTTTTGGCCCTATTCTGTTCCATTGATCTACATGTCAGCTTTTATGCTGATGCCATACAGTTGTGTGTGTGTGTGTTTTTTTCATTTGAAATATATATATTTCTCTTTTTTTAATTAAATATTTTATTGAGTTTATTCGGGTTACATTGGTTAATAAAATTATATAGGTTTAAGGTGTACCAGTTCTATAATACATCATCTATATGTTGTGTTGTGTGTTTACCACCCCAAGTCATGTCTCTTTCCATCACCATTTATCCCCCATTTACCCTCTCCTGCCTCCTCCCCCCCACATTTCCCTCTGGTAATCACCATACTGTTTTCTGACTATGAAGCTTCTTTGTTTTTTTTTCTTAATCCTTTTACCTTTTCATCCAGGCTCCCTGTCCCATTCCCTCTGACAGCTAGGACTTTATTTCTATTTTCTTGGTTTATTTTT